GACAGACACCAGTGTGTCCCAAAAGGAACCTTCCAGGTAAGTGCAAACATCCAGATCCCACGATGAGCTTGTCACCAATCTACTGTACACTACTTCCCAAGACCTCACACTTTGGAGTCAGCCCAAACAACACTCTAGTCTAGCTCCGGGCTGTCAGTTCCTGCGTTTACTATAACTCCTGTTTCTTCACATTCTCAGTCTTCACCGCACCTGCAGTGGCTGTTTTCAAGACCCGCATTATCTCTTACTTTATCTCTTATCTAGGTTTATAAAGTGTACGCAGTGTTATTTCAGAAGTTCGGAGAGTAAAACAGCCACCCTGATCATCATCACAGATGAGGCAGTGGTGACACACACCTTTAATCCCAGCAACCACGCTTGTTTGCCATAGAAACTGGGTGGTAGTGATGCAGGCCTTTGACCCCAGAACTAGAGAGGTATTTAAGACAGGAGGAGACAGCTCTCAGACACAGTCATTCTGAGATTCCTGGAGGAATAGCCATTTCTAGAGGTAAGACCCAGTGGCTGGCTGTTTTGTTTTTCTGACTTTCAGGTTGAACCCCAATTTCTGTCTCTGGGTTTTTATTAATCGTGCTGCAACAGTATTTTCCTATTTGTGCTCTCTATGTCTTGTCATTTTATCATACAATCCAATATTGTGTATTTATCAACTAGCCAAGGCAGTTGCTCTTTTTTTTTTATTCAGATTTTATTAAGTCATTCTTCTGATGAAAAGTCTTCAGCTGAATCCTCATAAATCTTACTTTAGGAGTATTATATCTTATTGAGAATAATTTTACTGACTTGAAAGACTGTTTGACGCCTGGATTAAGTTCTCAATAGGAACAGAACCAATGAAATCCTTATATGATTGTAATAGGCGATTTGTTAGTTTTCCATGCTCAGCAGTGGTAAATGGACTCATTGAGAAAGAATGGATATTATGTATACTGGCTAGCTTTCCCTTCTTCCATTTTTGTTTTAACTGAGCCTCTGGCCTGTTGGCTGGTGCTGCTCACATTCAACACAAGTCTCCCTTTAGCTAATCTTCTCTGAACACACCCTCACAGACCCACTTAGGAAGTGCTTTGCTGATCTCCCTGGCATCTCTCAATCTCATCAAGCAGACAATCAAGTTTAACGTTTGCAGAATCTGATGATGTCTGTTTGTTCTACCCCATGCAAACTCACTTTTCATTCAGCTGCTCGGTCTCAAGGACCCGAAGAAGGACAGGTGACGTCTTAATCATGTGGAATTGCAGTACTTGTAGTTGCTGTCATCAAATTGATATTCAATAAATATTAATCAGATTCATCAAGTAAACTGGAGTGCTTTGGTATTTGTTTGAGACAAGATCTCTTTCCCGTAGCCAGGGTGGCCTTGAATTTAACAAGGAGCTAAAGATGACATTGAACTTCTGAGCCTCTTGCCTTAACCAATTACCTGCTGGGTTACAGGTGTGTCCCACTGAATCTCGCTTGAAGTTAAATTTTTGGAGTACATATTGAAGCCATTATTCAAAAACTACATCCATGAAATAATAAAACATAACTTAGCTTGTTTGGTTACAGTCTGTCTAGGAAAGCAAGATTTAGACTTCCTATCCAAGAGTCTAAGAAAGCTGTTTCCTAATACAGGACAGCATCAGGCTTTGTTGTTTGTCTTATTTAATTGATAAATTAATGTTCAACTGTGCATTAAGCCAGGTGTATTTCTCATGATAGGCAAGTGCTATAATTTTTTCAAGTCATTATATATCAATATTGACATATTTAGAAAAAAACTGTCTTGCATAGATTTTGTTTATAGCTCAGACAAACCTATTTGAAACTTCATCATCATGGGATATTGGAAGATTCAATAAAATTTGGCAGTCATGATTCAGCAATCTAGAGACGTCATTGTAAATACTGTAACTACATAAAACAAAGGTCAGCAAAGCCATTGAAAATGCTGGAGAGGGAGCCCAGAAAGTCTCTGCTAGCATTAAGGTCATCAGGAAGGGACTGTAATGTAAACATGCTAAGGCCACTACTGTACAGCCTGTCCTGTGGACATAAGACAAACAAAATGTGCAGTAGGAAAAAAGACATGCAGGTGCTATCTGCAATACTAGAGTCCGATTTGGCATTGAAATGAAAGCACTGAAGGATAAGATGGAGTTGTTGGTTTGTC